CTGCTCCCAGAGAGCACTGCTTTAGGAGTCAGGAGCACTTGTTAATTCTCACAGCGATCTACCAACCAGGGACACTATAGGTTATACCATTGCACATATGAAGAAACTGAGGCCTACAGGGCTTGAGTAAAGCTGGAAGTGAAAGCAGCCCAAGTCTGGCTCACACTCTCGATGAACCCGCCTGAACCCCAGCCTTGTCCCCAAGCCTGAGGACCTTTTACCCGCAGCCCAGAGGCTGCGCGGCCCTGGTCACATCTGTGATATGCCACGTGCACAGAGCAATGAGCCAGCCCTGTGTGCCTGGCCCTGTGCTGGGTGCTGGGGGCACAAGGATGAGTTAGGCACAGCCCCTGCCCTCAAGTTGCTTCTGTCTGGGGTCAGGGTGGACGTTAGGGACAAGGAAGCAGGCAAGGACAGACGAGTTCATGACTAATTGTGATACAAAATGAAGGGCTAGGCACCAAACGGTGAGTTCTGGGGCAGAGAGGCCATTCGGTGAGCAGGTGGGACTTCGGCTGGGCCTCGGAGATGGGGGTGGGGTGGAGGGGCAGTCTTGGTGTAGGGGAGACCATGAGCAGAGGCTGGCCGGTTTGGGGGTGGCTTGCGAAAGGGCAGGTCCTTGGGGGTGGCTGGAATAGGGGGTTTATGGTGCTGCCGGGGTTGCAGCGGGGGAGGCTGCAGGTCAGATCCTGGAAGTTCTCGAAATAGAAGCTCCAGGGGCCTGTAGAGCAGTGCTTTCAACGGGGGCAACTTTGCCCTCCAGGGGACATTTGGCAATGTCTGGGGACGTTTCTGATTGTCACAATGTGGGGAGGGGATGGAGTTGTGGACATCTAGTGGGTAGAGGTCAGGGATGCTGATAGCCCCATAACTCAGAATGGTCCAGCCCCACGTGTGCCGAGGCTGACGTGCTGAGGCTAAGAGTGGCCTCAAGAGCCTTTCCCACTAGCCAGGGTGAGACTTGGGGAGGTCACTTAACTTCTCAGCCTCAATTCCCTGCTCCCTAAAACGGGGTGGTTATGTTGACTAACCTTCGAGGAGACAGCTGTCATCCTTTCCATGCTTGCTGAGGGCCAGGCACACCCCGGTGCTTTACCTGTCTGACCTCACCTAATCCTTATAACCCGGAGAAGGGCAATGCGACTGCTCATAACAACAGGGGTTTGTGGGGCCACTTCTTCTTCTTCTTTTTTTAAAAAAATATATATTTATTGATTTCAGAGAGGAAGGAAGAGAGAGATAGAAACATCCATGATGAGAGAGAATCAAGGATCAGCTGCCTCCTGCAAGTCCCCCACTGGGGATTGAGCCCACAACCCAGCATGTGCCCTTGACCGGAATTGAACCTGGGACCTTTCAGTTCGCAGGCCGACGCTCTATCCACTGAGCCAAACCTGCTAGGGCTGTGGGGCCACTTCTTAAGTGCCAGCCACCATACTAAGCGCTTTACATATTTTCATTAATTTAATTCTTACAACCTTCTGATGGGACTATGATAATTGCCATTTAATAAATGGGGAAACAGAGGCACCAGAGGATGGAAGCTTCCGCAGGGCAATGTCTTGTTTTCCGCTCTCCCTCCAGCATCTAGCACAGTGTCTAAATACAGGGTGGGGCAAAAGTAGGTTTACAATCCTGAGTACACAAAACAGAGTTTATTCTTGTATTATTTTTTATTGTGTTATTTTCCAGATGAACAACTGTAAACCTGCTTCTGCCCCGCCCTGTATTTGTTGAGGAGGAAATAGATCACCCGCACCCGCTGTGGACTTCATGGGCCAATGAAGCTCCTGCCACTGTGAAGAAACCGGGGCACAGGAAAGTTGGGGATCTCGCTTGGAGACACAGCAGGACTTTCAATCCCTTGCTTTTCGGCCGGGGCCTCCGGAAGCCCCGGTGGTCTCTCTGGGCCACTGGGGCCTGGCTCTGAGCCCATCACTAGCAGAAAGGGACCTCATGGGGGGCATTTCTGAGATGCCCAGAGGGCAATGGGGCTGTGGGTCTCCCTGGAGTCCTTGCTGAGCTGGAGAGGACGGTCATCTTGGACTCTGACCAAACCCAGCGCTCAGGCAGCACAAGCCTGTGCCTGGGACTGTGAGAGCAGTGAGAGTTCACATTCAATCCAACCTCAGTCCCGGCCTCGGGCAAGTGGGTACTGGCAGGGCGTGTGGGGAGAGCCAGGCTCGTGTTTGATGACCACTGAGCTGCTGTGTAGTCTCCATGCTCTGTGCTTTAGGCTCACGTCTCAGCCACGCCTCCCCGCAGCCGAGGGAGCAGCACCATCGCACCCACAGATGCGTGTGAAATGGAGGGTGAAAGAAGTGCTAATTGTCCAAGATCACCAGTCCAGAGGCTTCAAGCTCGGCCTCTCTGATGCCTACATGAACCTGAACCCTAAGCACGCATTCCACCGGTGACCTGGGGCCCAATAATTACTTCACTTTCCTGGCCCTCATCTGTGAAATGGGACCATGAGCCCAGGCCTCAGGAGATTGTTGGGAGGATTTAAAGGTGATAACAGTGACAGAATACCCAGTGCCTAGTAGGTTCTTTCCCTGAGCTTCTTGGAGATCCATCAAATGTGAGCTTTGGGGTAGCCCTACTGGGGTGCAATGGAGCCAAATTCGAGGAAGGGGGGTCAAGGTGGGCAGAGGCTTGGGAGGAGGCCTCTAAAGACTGTACTGCTCTATGGAGCATGGCCCACCCACCCATCACTGTGGGTTCCTTCCCACAATGCTGTGTGCCTTCAGGCTGTAAAGTGGGGGATGCTGCTCCATCATCTACAAGTGTGCTGGTGGAATCACCTTCCCAGGAGTGAATTGTGCAGCACTCCTCACCCCACTTTCCCTACATAGTTACTGGATCAGTGGCAATTACAGAGCTGATGGGGGTGTGGTCTACACTGCAGGCCTCCTCTCTTTCCAATTCTCTATAAACCTGCTAGGCCCTGGCCATGCTTTCCTTCCAGGATGTTCTTCTTGGTAAGCCTCTCGGCTTTTGCATATGTTATTCTCTCAGCCTTTCACCCCTCCCCATCTAGCCAAATCCTACTCTTCCTCCAGGTTTCAGCTGACATGTCACCTCCTCCAGGAAGCCTTCCCGAGTCTCCTCCACCTGAATTAGCTGCCTCACTTAGGCTCCTGCAGCCCTGATGCTTCCTTCTGTCCAGGCAGTCATCCCATTGTGTGTCACTGCTGATCTGCCCTCCTCCATCTGACTGT